GATAAAAAGTTTGGGAACCACTGGCCTACAGGACAATAGGCAAGCAGCTTGGTGAGAAGGCAACAACAGTTGGTGCAATTATTAGAAAATGGAAGAAATACAAAATAACGGGAAATCTCCCTCGGTCTGGGGCGCCATGCAAGATCTCACCTCGTGGAGCATCAATGATCTTGAGGAAGGTGAGGAATGAGCCAGAACTACACGGCAGGACCTGGTCAATGACCTGAATAGAGCTGGGACCACAGTCTCAAAGAAAACAATCAGTAACACTCTACGCCTTCAAGGATTAAAATCCTGCAGTGCACGCAAGGTGCCCTTCCTCAAGCCAACGCATGTCAAAGCCCGTCTGATGTTTGCAAATGACCATCTGAATGATCCAGAGGAGGAATGGGAGAAGGTCATGTGGTCTGAAGAGACAAAAATAGAACTTTTTGGTTTAAACTCCACTCGTCATGTTTGGAGGAAGAAGAATGATGAGTACAACCCCAAGAACACCATCCCAACCGTGAAGCATGGCGGTGGAAACATCATTCTTTGGGGATGCTTTTCTGCACTTTCCGCCCTGTTGTGGGTCCATTTCCTTGAAAAATAAAACTTAACCAGGCACTTTGAAGAAGCTCTGACGCTGGTAGTCTATGTAAATAATAATGTGGGTTTACACACCCCAGAACCGAACATTTTGACTTCTGAACTTGCATATTCGGCAAGACACTATGAACTACAAAATCACACAGCGAGGGAAAAAATGGTGGACTATGAAATCCAGTTGGCCGGAAATACATTACCATAAATGGTAGTTCCGAAGAAAAAAGTGTGACGAAATAAACAATGAAACGAAATAAGCAACTGCAGATTTTGAACAAACTGAAAAATTTGACCCATAAAAAAATTAATATATCTTTGCAGTAACTGGACAGACTAAATTAAAGTTTTCTACACTCCTAGACACTATAATTGCACAAAAAATAGTTTATAAATGCAAAAAAAAGTACATTTAGCATGATATATCTCCTTTAACAGAATATCGACAAAGTTTTGCGTACATTTGCAATGGAAACGCAGCTTGTATTTGCTTGACAATAATGTGCATACAAACTCCTTTAGATGCTCCCAGTCTAGCTGTGTTTAAACTTAAATAAATTTGGGAAAACAGCATCAAACTCCACTGGGAGGACCACAAAACATGGTGCTACGGTGCTTACAACAATGACTCAGGACACAGCCATCATCTCAACATGGGAGGAGTATTTTTGATCACTTTTCCCAAGCTAAGATGCTAGCTAACAGATGCTAGCTAACTGCTGGATTCCAGCGGTTTGACAAAGTGAATTTGGCCAGAAAAAAATCATGGACTTAACGTTTTCTCCAAACATTTAATCAACAGTAAAAGGCCAAAACTGAACCACCCAGATTCAATCCCTACACTCTCTGTCGATAAACAGGTACAATAAATATCATTGTTTTTACTGTAGCCTACTGCTAGCTTTACTCATAGCATCTATGGTAGCCTCGCTCATATACAGCACTCTACTTCAGGGCTCTACTGCAGTCAGTCCAGCATATAGTGATAATATTTTACTTACACAAATTCTAACCATCATCATTAAGTTACTTTAAATGATGCAGAAGCGGTGGCTCTAGTTATACACACAGACACACACACACACACACACACACACACACACACACACACACACACGCACACGGCAGATAATGTATGAAAATAATATGTGTGACACCACGAGTGAAGGTCCCCATTAGAATATTAGGTTTTGAAAACCACAATAATAAAAGCAGTATCCGTCCCATAACTGATTCTGTTGTAGTTTTATTTGCCCACTGAGCTAAAAGCTCAAAAAACTGTACAATTAATGTATTTATTTATTTATTTATTTTACCTAATACCCTCTTGAGAGACATCTTATAGGTTGTTATGTTCGGTCATGACCTTAAATATCTCTGCACAGCATGTTCTTTAATAATGCTTTCTTTAGCAAAAATAAATAAATAAATAAATAAATAAATAAATAAATAAATAAATAAAAAACATCATCTCATTTGGCAGAAAGTAAAGAGAGAATCTGCAGTTAACTTTGTAAGAGATCACTTGTAAGCTGAAGCAATTTTTTTGTCTTTTTTTCTGTTTTGCTTTTTGTCACAATTGATTACCTTTTTTCCAGAATTTGAAATCACTTCTGAATGATTAGAGCTGGGAGTGTGAAGAGAACAAATAGTCTTTAGTTCATTTTCATTAGATGATGTCACATGAATGATCAGCGTTTTGTTTTCAGTGGGCCAATTAAATAAACCAAAAGATTATTTTTTCAAACATCAAACTGGCATTAAAAAATGTTTTTTAAGAGCTATGTTGCAAAAATATTTTCAAGGCTTTTCTTATGTTCAAGTGATGGCAACTTGTTAGCATTATTAAGATGCCTAGTCTTTGTACAACTTGAGCACAGCAGTGTTCTCCTGGAACTTCAAACATATTTTTGTGACTTGATACAAAATATTTTAGATGACAGAATATTCATCATTCAGAGTTAAGGTTTGTGCACAAATCCTTACCCCACTAGTCTCTCAAATTAAACTTGAGGTCTTCTTTAGTTTAAAAGCATTATTAGTTCAGTTATGATCAAATTTACTTCCCAGCATTGAAACACAAACTTGCACTGAGGTATTCTAAGGGTGTTTTCACACCAGGAAAATTCCTTTGGTCTGCTTATTTGGTCCAGATCAAAAGCTGACTTTATTTTTTTATTAAATTTTTTTTTTTTGCTTTGGTATGGTTTGAACTGCATTGTGCTTTTTTGCAAGTGAACTATAATTTGTAAACAAAGCCACATAGGGGACAGTCATTCCTAACATTTGACAGAAATGACGGGGACAAGAGCACAGACCCAGAAAGAAAGGTTGAAGTCCTGCGTGCTGCAGTTCTGATGTGCAAAACATGGAGAACATGACCGTACTCCTGTGTGTCTTATCAAGCAGATGAGTTCTGTTTGCATAATGATGAGGAGCCACCATGTGTTAGTTGTTCCAGGTCTGTCCACGGCTCATTGCTTGTAGCGTCCATGTAGTGTTAGCATTGAAGGGCTAACTTTTACCATGATGCTCTGCAATGGTGACTTGTGAAGTCCAGAAAGGTGTAGGTTTCCTGTAGTTGGAACGGGTCAAGGCCATTCTGTATTCACACCAGAAGTGAACCGCACCAGAGTTCGTTTAGAAGCAGACTGAGACCACCTCAAAAAGCAGTAGTGAATCTGGGATTTTCCTGTGTAAGGGTCCATCAAGGGTCCACAGTATTCATAGAGGGGCCAAGTATTTGTTCAGCATCCTTGCTCATAAATCCCTGGTTTTGGTAAGGTGCATATATTTAACCAGTTGCACGTTTAAACATATGTAATTTTAAAAAAGTGCAAAGTACATTTTCCAATGCCAATTTCACATGCATTTTTACAGTACATAGATAAAATATGCTCAAACACACAGCGTGTGAGAGAATCCAGCCCTCATTTGTGAGTTGAAAGACTTTTTCTGCAGGATTGTTCAAATTTTCAGAAAAGAAAAAGACTTCTGTTGGCTTTATTCATGCAGGACTTTTCTGTTGGTGTCATTGGCGCCTCTAGTGCTTGAACATGGAACTACAATCAGCATCTTCGCTCTTGGGCAAAGGACAGATGAGGGGCACTTCAGGGGGCCAATCAAAGTTCAACAGGGGCCAATGCCCCTGTGGCCCCGCCCCTAGAACCGCCCCTGTCAAAAAGTGAGTCTAGGTTCGATTGTTTGGTCCGCACCAGGATTTGGATTGAGTGTATTCACATCGGCATAAAAGATCCGGACCAATGGTGGAAACAAACTCTGGTTTGTTTAAAGTGGACC